CCCCAAAACCCCAAAACCCCAAAACCCCAAGATTCTAAAATGTGATGTAATTGTTAAAATGGTTGAATATATATTTAATAATAAAATTGGGATTGAAGTTGGATAGGCATAATAATAGTTTGATATTTTACTACAGAATCAAACATATGAATTCTAAAATAACTCTAAAAATCAAAGATCCAATTGTTAGAGCTAACTATTTGCTAAAGAGAAGCAGAGAAATTCTATTTTTGAGCTTGCTTGTATTTCTGATTAGAATAGTCATGTTTGCTGGTGTAATTATTGCATCTTTTATCAAGCAAAGACCCTCTACTCCTAATGTATTTATTATCGCTTCAGCAGGGTTACTATGGCATATAATTCTGATGATTCTCACTTACAGATTTCCTAGAATTTTCACACTTATTCACGCACCGCTGCTTGCGATTAGTTACTTTTTCACTTGCCTCACTCAATTTTACAGCCCCAACTCTTATGTGGCAGTCATTCAGAGTACTATTGGCTTGGAGTTTTTTCTCATTAGTGGGTTAGTACTAAGCTTCTGCTGGTATATAACAAGTATTGCACTTCTGTTAAATTTGATTTTCGGTCTAGTTATTTTAGTTGTAAAGTATGACATTGATGATGTAGGAACTATAGGGTAATATCTGATGACTACCTTTTTTATAATCTATGCTTGCTACGTGAATGAATATAACACTAAAAGCGAGTACCTTTGATTAATTGAAAATGAAAAAATGAATCAAGATTTAAAAAACCTACTAATTAATCTACCAAATCCTATATTGCTTTTTGACTAGGAAAATAACTAGGTAGTTTAAGGAAATAAAGAACTGAATAAACTACTTTCAATAAAAGATGATTAAGATAACTCTGTCATTACCTAGAGATTAACAGAGCAAATCTTTTAGCCTTATAACAATTACATCGAAGGACTGGGTGATAGTGAACAAGATTCTGGTTTATAGATTAATTCAATAAGACTAAATATTCATGAGGCGCTACAAAGAAATGATCCTAATGAATTTTTCCAAATTAAGACTAAGTACAACTTTGAAGATGGCAGAAGTCATTCCTCACAGGAGCAACCATAGTACTCAGAAATCTTCACTCTTAAGTAGCAAGAACTTTAATTTTAAAGCAAGCCATTTATGCTAATTCTTTTCAATAGAATCACATCCTTCATCAAATATGAAAAATTGAAAATGGAAAATAATTTCTACGAAATGATTACTGCCACTGTATCTCATGATATGAGAACACCAATAAATGCAATAATGGGTATCATAGAAAGCCTTGATCCTTTTATCAGTAAATAAGAAGGTAAAAAGTTATTGCAAATTGTTGATAATTCTTCAAAAATATTACTCTTTCTGGTGAACGACATCTTAGACTTTTTTTAGATAAAAAATGGAAAGTTTAAAATAAACTATGACAAAGTTAAAATAAGAAAGCCAATATAGGAGCTAATTGATATGTTTTAGTTGGTATCTCATGAGAAAAAAGTTGAAATATTATGTGAATTTGACGAAAATGTCCCTGAATAATTATTAGTTGACGAATAAAGACTTAGATAAATTCTGATAAATCTAATAAGTAATTCGCTAAAATTTACTTTATAAGGTTCAATAAAGATACTCTCAAAATATGAATAAAGTCAAAAAACACTTTTTGTTACAGTAAAAGATACAGGCATTGGGGTAAACGATGAAGATGAAATTAAATTGTTTAAGTTATTTGGAAAACTTGAGTCATCTTAGGCTCTTAACACTAAGGGAATAGGACTCGGGCTTAACATATGCTCAAAGATTGTGGAGGCCTGTGGAGGAGAAATACATCTGGATCATGAATACAAAGAAGGGGCTTCGTTTTAATTCAGCATTTTGGCTTATGAGAATGAAAATGATTTACCGAAAAATTAGTCTCGGAAGAAAGAAGTCTTAAAAGACCAATTAAGTAGTTATCAGTCAGAAGGGCTAGATGAAAATGAACTACCAGTTAAATTCAACTCTATCATGCTTTCTCTTAATGACTACTCAGATGATAAAATAGATTTTGACTAGTACCTTGGATCTATACATTCAGTGAGAAATTTGAATACTGAACCAGAATTAAGTTGTCCATGTAGAAATAGACCTTAAATTTTGATAGTTGACGACAATGTTTTCAATATTATAACGCTATAAACGATTCTGGAAATGAACTTCAAATAAAAAGTAGAAAAAGCAACGAATGGCAAAGAAGGAGTAGATAAGGTTATGGAGAGAATAGAATTAGATAGGCAAGAACCCTGCCATTGCGATAAAAACAATCATAATTTTAAGATAATATTTATGGATTGCAACATGCCAATAATGGATGGATTTTAAGCAACTCAAGAAATAAGACAGTTTGAGAAATAAAATAATATTGTTCAAACAAGTTATATCGTTGCGTTAACTGCATATTCAACAGATATGTTTTCTCAGAAATGTAAAGAATCAGGGATGGACAACTTTATGACTAAGCCGATCAGTGTAGACACTATCTAAAAAATACTCTCGAGAACTGTATTCAAGTGATTAAGGAGAGTAGGCATAATAAATCAAGCATAAGAAAAATAATATTTAAAATCGATGCGACTATTTCATAGTAAATCATAGTAAATTATCATTTTTTTCTGAAAGTTTATGCTTTGCGGGGTTTTGGGGTTTTGGGG